CTCGACAGCGCCGGGCTGCCCTGGTCCCTCGCAGTGATGGTGATATTGTAAGTGGAGACTTTTTCTCTGTCCAAGGCACTGGCTATTATGAGTTTATAGGTGTTCTCTGATGACGGTTCTAGTCTGAAAGGCAAATTGCCGTCGATGTCGCACCTCACTTCTCCATTATCCCCCGAGTCTCTGTCACGGACATTGATCACAGCTACAACTGTGCTTGGGCCCGAGTCTTCCGGTATCGGGTTCAAGATAGGCAGGAGGGAAACTGTTGGCGCATTGTCGTTCACGTCTAGAATGTCTATTTGCACTTTGGCGTGCGCACTCAGTCCGCCGCCGTCCTTGCCTTCAACACTTGCTTCGTAGTATTTTCCTTCTTCATAATCTAAGGGCCCTGTAACCTTCACTTCCCCTGTCCTGGAGTCCAGAGTGTAGAGCTGGCGAGCACTGTTTGCGATGTCACTGAAGGAGTAGGTAATTTCTGCATTTGTACCTTCGTCGGCGTCAGTAGCTTTCACCTGAAAAGCTAAGGAGCCCTCTGGCAGGTTTTCCAGCAGTTGAACCTTGTAGATCTCTTTGGTGAATACCGGCGGGTTGTCATTTGCGTCGGTCACGGTAATCTTTATCTGGGCCGTCCCGGATCGGACTGGATCTCCTCCATCCACCGCCGTCAGTATCAAATGGTGATTTCTCTGGTTTTCTCGATCTAAGCTTTTCTCCAACACTAATTCTGGCTGCTTCGTTCCATCAGGACTCTCCCTCACTACAAGGGAGAAGAGCGGGTTGGGGGTAATTAAGTAGTTTTGTAATGAGTTCTCCCCAATGTCGGGATCTCTGCCACTGCCCAGTGGGAACCTGGCCCCAGGAGGAGTGGATTCGATCATTTCTATGGCAACAAATTCTCTGTCAAAATGCGGCGCGTTGTCATTGATATCCTGGATAGTAACGCTGACATGAAATATATTGAAAGGGTTTTCCACGACTGCCTCCAAACTGAGGACACAGGGCGACACGGCCCCGCAGATGCGCTCTCGGTCTATCCCCTCGTTTACCCGCAGATTCGTATTATCTTCCCCGAGAGTGAAGTATTGCTTTTCATCACCAGAC